CACCACCACACAAGCATCATGAAATCCGAGCTCCATAAAAATAGTTTGGAGGACATGCCCACTCACTGTCACCGTTGGCCATTATTTGGCTGATACTTTTCCGACCATCCACGTCAGCTGCTCCATGACCTCCGAGGCGGGGTGATTTAACTACCGCAAAAGAGATGACTATAGCTCTGTGCTTGAAAATTTACAAGCAGTTGAGGGGGGAGGGGAGGGGAACAGGACATGTGCGGAAATATATCTACTACCAATTTTTATCGCACAAAAGATAATTTTCGTGAATTCCCCAAGGACGATAAACGAATGCGCCAATAATAACAGTAATAGCTGCTAATCACCAAAACTTAAGGAATAAGAATGAGATATTGGAACTTTGCCCGACAAGAGTGGTATGTGGCCGAACAAAATTTCATATATCTATAAAACAGAAATGTATCATTGATAAAGCACTAAGAAAAGTAAAAAAACGGTGCAAACTCTTTTCAGAAACCTAATTTCTTGAACACCTCTGAACTTCTTAAGTACGGGATGAGGGGGGGGGGTTCTTAAAGGACTTCGCTATGATCGGAGTGAGTGCGTCCACACCTAATTATGCAGCTTTGGTCATGGGTGTTGGACGGTAATTCGGGCCACTTATTCAGCACATTCCTTTAAAAACATAACATAAGAATAGTATTTTCATCGATGAAATCGTAAGCAATTGACCCCAATTCGACTTGATGCATACACGATAGTAAAAACCGTGAAATTAGCCAATGCTTATGTAAGTTTTAAGAAGCCGCAAAAAATGGCTACCTCATTGAAACTACATATCTCAAGTAGAGGAAGACGGATAGCAATTCCTCTTAGTAACAAAGGAACATCGATAGCGTATCGATTAGCATGAAAGGGTAGGGGTCGGTGGGTGAATAAATCTCGATAAATTTGCCAGGAAAGTGAGTAGTGGAAATGCCGTTTTCTAGGCAGACGTGCTCCAAGATGCAATTTGGCTGTGGAAGATGGGTGCCAGGCAACACTATTCTCCTCTACCTGGAGCTGCTGAACCAGCTATCAAGTCGTAAGCCTGGAAGGTACAGATCAGGTGACCAAGGCTCACAGCTGCACATACCTTAATGTGGATTGTCAAAAAAACACTGGTAAATGCAATGATGGAATGTGACTCCACGATTCATTCCTCCGCTCATGTCAAAGGTAAATTGAAGGGAAAGTTTTCATTGAGGGGCTTGTGACTTACTACCTGAATTTTTCAACTGAGAAATTTACATTGTGAACCGAAGACCTCCACTGTTGTTGTTGTTGTTGTTATTGCTATACCCCTTATCTTCCAAAAACGAACATGACTTCTCGTTTAACTGCCAAATATAAACCTTGTCCACCCCCCACCCCCCACCCCAAGGAAGAGAATTGATTGAGACGAGAATTTTATAACTGATATGAGAAGAAATCACTCACCAAGTTGTAATCTGAGGGATGGAAGACAGGGTACAAGGCGTTGTTGGGCGAGAAATCGTTCATATCTGCACCGTCTACACAGAAGATAGGAAAAAAAAAACTTAGAGACTAAGACAAATAGCGATAAGTAGGCGATCCTCACGTCAACAGCGTGGTTGAAAAGGGAGTAGTAAATCGAGGCAAGACCTCAAGGACACGCCTTAGCAACACCGGATCTCAGTCGCTTCCTGAACCAGAGGAAAACCCCTTCATCCAGATTATGGACTAATTAGACAGGTAATCGTTGAAATAGTTCACTCTTCATTATGGCAAACCAGTATTTCAGTGGAAATGAATCGCCAAATATATAGTCCAATATTAAGACGCCTGGAGGAAATTAAGTAATTTTTTTAAATGGATATTTAACTGAACTTATTTTTTATTTTAATGGACAAAATACTTGGAGTATTTTATGATATGGTTTAGCATGACCTGATGTTTTCTCAAGTGACTCAGACATTGTAAAAATATTCATTCTTAAGGTATTTAAGCAAGGAAGCCACAATAGTTGACGATTTATGATGCTGCTGAAAAATTAGTATATCCCAGTGTTTTAGCCACAGAAGCTTCGTAATTAGCGCCAAAGTATAACGAATTTAGCTAAACAGAAAATCATCGATTATGAGATGATTCTAATAGTCACTTTTTAACGGGCACCTCTCTATTCGCTTAGCCTAATCTAAGGCATTAAATAAAATGAAAACGTAATAACAAGATAGTTAACATATCCAAGAGGAATCATAACCGATGACGAAGTAAAAGGAAGACCAAGTTATTGATTTTGAATTTGAGGCCATTTACGTCGACTTAGTCTTAGAATTACCTATTTGTGTGTGCGCCATGTTACTTACTTATACATTCAACCCCGACAAAAGTGGGGAAGTGGTGGGGTGGGGTGGGGTGGGGGGAGAAAAGAGAGTGTACGTGGTACGTAATTTGAGTACAAAAGTAATCTTACCAAAACTTAAAGGTGAATCACAGCCGGGTATTCTCTGAAAGAAAAGAAGGGAACAAGATCAGAGTGTGTTGACACATTCACTACTCACTTTTCACCCTTCCGATTAAGATGGGCTTTATCATTCCAAGTTAATTAAGAGCAATAGACACAAATGAGTGCAGTCTTATTTGTACCTAAACAAAGTTTTAGTTAAACGATAATGCTAATGTTTACTCATCATACGGCAAAGAAGTCTGCAAACCGACAGTTGACTTCTCACTTGAAACTGCCATGACCAGCTTGCATGCCATATTCCACCACTTTCACAGTACTCATCTTACCCTTTTCTCTACCTTTGTGTCAATCTCTTTTACATTTGCAAAT